TGGAATTGGTTGATCGAAACACTCCTTTGAAGTCTTCAGACGGAAGCCTGCAAGACCGAATGAAGGCTGGCCAACACTGTCTTGCAACCAGCAATCCGAATCCTTTGCGGATTAGGATTTTTTTAAGGCTTGTTCTATTTGATTTAGAATTCCGAGTTTGTCTTTTTTTTGGACTTTCGTTTTATTTTGTTTGTTAGATTAGGTCTATTTAAAGCTTTCAACTACGTTGTAATTGTTAGATTTCGTTCGATTGAATACAAACCGGAGTTTGATTCACAAGCTTGCTGCTTCGTGAGTTTGAGAGTGGTTTAGGTAGAGACCTAGGCTGCTTGAGTGCTTGTATCGTTCAGCTAACCCCGCTGATCGTGGCAAGGCTTCTACCTGTAGTTCTCTAGCCTTTCTCCATTCGTGAGAATTGCACGAAACTTCCATCTCACACAAGAACCCAAAGCCCTGTTTTTTGTGTTCTTTATCAGCCGAGTTCAATTTCTCTTATGATTGAATCCATCCAACCCATTCTAGGGTTCATCATGAGAGCAACAAAATTCAGAGATCATCCTCAGAATCATTTGAGATAAAGTCATTACTTCCTTATTCTTCTACAGCATTGTCAGGAACATTATCTGCAACATTGTTGGCCATGCATTCATCGTCCTCAACATCCTCGCCGGAAAGGAATCAGGATCTATTATCCCCCACCCCCCCCCCCCTCAATCGCATGACTCAGTCATTGACGACATCGTCGGCAAAAATAAATATAATGGGATCAATGATGTGGAAGGAAAACAAAGAGATGTCAAGAAAAACTAGGAGAAGGGATATGAGAGGGCCAAAAGGAAGGGGTTGAGGAAGGTGGTGTCACAATACGAAAGCTGGGATCCAAACATAAGATGAGAAAAACTCAGGGGAACACGATCGATTGCATGAGCTAAGATCCAAAGATCGATTGGAAGTGAACGATCAAGAGCATTAGTATGAGGAATAAAAATCCTAGTAACTAGTAAGGACATAGTGAAAAACACGAAGCCGTGACTGAAGAATCCAAACATGAACCGAAGAAGAAAAAATAGGGTTGTGACCAGTGATACAAACAAACTTGGAGGAAACATCAAAGCCATACTTCAAGAGTTCAGAATCACGGGAAAGGGTTTCACTATTATAATGAAATTCAAGAATACACCCAAGATCGTTAACATTAAGAGTAAACATGGTTCCAAAAACTTTGGTGGTAAGTGAACGAGAATTAATACCAGCCAAGCGAAGATGGGAGTAAAAATACCGGACAACATCGGGAAAGATTGCATTGGTTTTTTTAAAGAAAATTCCAGCCAAGATTAAAGACACACACAATTGCGGACTCCGAATTTGCAAAGAGGTAAAAGGACGGTAGGAGCAATGTCATGAGTTCCATAGCTAACGATATGACAGAATAGGCTCAATGAAAAAGGTACTGATCACGAGAACATAATTATAAAATAGGGGGGAAAACTAAGATGAGTTAAGGAAGTTTGAAGACAAGAAAGGAAGAATTTTAAAAACAATTAATTGCTAAGAAAACAATGAAAGACAAATTCGCTAAGAGAAGGGAACACGAACAAGGAAACAAGTATAAAGAAAAAAAAGTATAGAAAATAGAATTAAACAGATCAAGTGGTGATTTCTTCTGATAGAGAAGTAAAAAATCTTAAGCCAATTCATAACAAAGAAAAATAAAATGCTCTGTAAGTAAAGGCTTGGTCAACACGTCTGCTAGTTGAAATTAGGTAGTAAAATATTGATTAGAAATATAGTCTGATTGAACATGTTCCCAGATGAAATTATGATGAGAACACCCCATTATCATAAAACAACACACTTTCAACATTTATAGGGTTAAAAGAGGGGAAAAGATTTTTCTTACTAGTCATATGATGAGAACACCCATTGTTTAGGTACCACTTTTGGTTACTTTCCAGCGAGTCTTCTCCAACTGGTGATATAACGATACTTGATCTTCAAAATTATTTGAAATGATTACCCATGAGTGCATCCTCATCAGTCTGCTCCTCTTCTTCAGGTTCATATTGGTAGTCAGTCCAAGTGGCTTTCATGTCTTTTTCCTTAGGTTTCAATTTATGGGGGGTAAGTTGCCCGAATGTAGCCCCAATTCGCAGCAAGCATGAGGCTACCTGTCTGAATTACCTATTTTAACATATCTGGTCTCCTGGGGTATGAGCCTGCTTAGAGAGGAAATTTTAGTATGATCAAAGCTAGCAGTTTTAGAATCTTAATATATTGCTTCTGGTTTTTGTATTTCAACATGCGATGGAATGTTTTACTGACTAAGGTGAATTCCTTATCAAAATCACTTTCAGATTCACTATGAGAACTGTAGCTGATGAATCTTGATTGAATGCTAAGTTCTTCTTAGGCTTTTCATCCTCTTGAATGACTTGTCTAATAACGTGCTCATGACTCGGTAAAGACACTATTAGCTTGTTTGTTGGAAGGGTCCTCGGATTCTTTACCTCCTCAATAATGGTAAGCTTAGCTAACCATTCTTTGGGTGGGGATATGAGAATTTTCCTATTCAATCCCTTAGATTGAAATGTTCTTCCTAGTTCTATTAGTTTATTTATCAACATAGTGAACCTAGTATACATCTCATGAATGCTGTCATTTCTTAGCGTATAAAAAATCTCATACTCATGCATATATTTAACATTAGATGTACCTTCATAGGGGCTCTGATATCTGAGCCTCTTTTTTATTTTATTTTCTATCTGTCAAGCGACTAAAGAAAAAAATGAAAAATAAGATTCGATCTGACGAAGAACAGAGAAACACCCATATCCCAATCTCGGATCCCTTACAACCTCAGATACTCAAAACCTATAACTGAGCCCCTTTTGCACCACGAAAGCCCTTTACAACTTCCATCTACAAAAGTGCATACGAGATGCAACTGCTGCGAAATTATATAGCAGAGCTAAATGGTTGTTAATCATCGATCAAACAACAATTGTCTTTCTCTAAGTAGAGACGTCTGATTGTTGTAGCAGATTTGCGGGTGCTTATTGTTATAGTCAACAACTTGCCTTCATAGATTACGTGGATCTATTTATAGAAGCTTTTTTAATGGCAATTGTCGATTTCGCATCAAAGACCTGGCCTGTTGAAATCTTATAGGCTATGTAGGTCAAAGGGATGGGGCCGTCGACCATTGAGGATAGAAAGGGTCGATCGACCACTTAATGTTGAATGTCGAGTTGGTCTTATAAATCAACTAAACCACTTGTAATTAATATATATATGTATATATATATATATATGTATATATTAAGTGATTAGTTTTTGGTGTAAATAATATCATGTGGTTGGATGATGCTACAATAATGTGGATAAAATGATTGGAGTGCATCATGCTCTCTTTTTTTATTCTTTTTGTTGACAGAGTGCATTCATGCTCTAAACATAGTGAAACACTTAAATTGGTGTTATTTATCCTTCATATTAAGGTTTGTTTCATGCCAATTCACGTGCATAAATGCTTAAACATCGTCAATTACATCCCTATTTTGTTCCTATTTGAATTCGATGTGATTTTAGGGTGTATTAGAATATACATGCGAATTAGGTGCAAAACAAGGTCAAAAGTGTAGCTAAGGGGCAGGAAGCTAAAGATCGTGGCCTGGAAGATGAAGATCACGACCGGGAACACAGCCAGCGAAGTCAAGCTAAAGATCGCGGCCTGGAAGCCCAAGATTGCGGCCGCAAATTAGAGGGCTCAGGGCGCGAAATTTGCGAGGAATGAGCCATGGATAAACAGAAAGTTTCCCCAGTCAAGTCACGGCCAAAGCACATATTGCCCACGAGGAAGATCGCGGCCGCGAAGTCAGCCCGTGATCTTTCCCTTTCAGAAGGCCATGACGATGGTGTTTCAGATCGCGTCCTCTCTTCAGAAGATCATGCCCACGATCTCCTCACCTCTGGCCGCAAACTTCTATGTCCCTAGAAGGCCTTTAAATAGAAGACCCCTTTGCCCATTTTAGATGAGCTGCTTTTGAGAGAAATTTATGAAAAACAACAATCACGTATTAAAGTAGGCTAATAGAGAAGATTGGGGCACCCTACCACAAATACAATTCAAGATAGAATAGCAATTAAATCAACTAGATAAACACATTCATTCATTCAAACCCTAAAATATCCATACATACAGAATAGACCCTAAAACTAGGGTTTGGGGTTTAGAACCCTACTACTTTAGAGGACTATATTCGATAACCTTAAGTATCTTACACGCATAGTAACCCTAAGCTAGGGGGAGATGGGTATGCATCATAGATCAAAACGTGATAGATGTATGAATAGGGACCTAGGGTGGTCGAGGCGACCGAACCCCAGCCGTAGGTTAGCCTTCATAAATAAAACCTGGGATAAAACCTCGATGTCGACGGTGGATAGTGTCCATTGAAATGAGCCATATGCTTAATGCCCAGATACGATATCCTATATCGAGTTGACTATACATGGGTTTAGGGGAGGCGTACTTGGAGGCGTGTGCATAACCACGAAAGCCCACGGAAAAGAGCTCACTCACCACATTTGATAACCTTAAGTATCTTACATGCATAGTAACCCTAAACTAGGGGGAGGATTAGTTCACCGAAGTACCCGCTTTTAGATTTGATATAGTTATCTCCTCAAATCCTCCACTCAAACCTCCAAAATTGATTAACTAATTAGTAACTAATTTGGATACAATAGTTATGAAAATGAAAGTATTTCTCATACAAACTCATAAAGTCTTGGTTAGCCGTTAGCCAAATTCGATTAGATGAGAATGAGATTGACGACTTGTGTGTAGCCTACTAAAGGCAATGGAATGATTCTTTGCTTTTTTTAATTGACCATTATATATGTATGAATACTGTATAGATAATAGATAATACTAGTATATTTTCCCGAAACATATTAAACATATATAAACCCTCTTATTGCGTGAACTGTGACGTAATACCCAATTATTCGAGAATGAAATGTTTTATATTTTATATAATTAATGAGAAGGGGGAAAAAATATTAATGAACATGCGAAAGGAGCAACCCTTCCTTCCTTTTTGTTTTTATAAGCTAGACAAGAGAAGTTGTCCTTTCAAATTCCATTCCATCAATATATAACAAACCTACCATTCTGCCCCTAGAACACACCTCGTGGAGCTGCAAATTCCGACGACCCAAAAGAAAAGAGAAACGAAATTCCACAAAGAAGAAATGGAGGAAGTTGGAGGGCAGCCTTTGTTAGAGGATCACGGCGGCGCGTGCAGCAGCGGCAGCCAGGAGGAGCTTGCCGACGGGGGAAAATCGGCAGCCACGCCTGCCGTCATCTTAAGCACTTTCATTGCCGTCTGTGGCTCCTTCTGCTATGGCTGCGCTGTAAGTGCTACTATTCATTGCTTGCTTGCTGGTATCAAATCTGACCAATCGAGTTTTCAACTAAAAACAAAAATTCAGTTCAGAATCCTGTTTTACGTTTTGATCAACACGATTCCTTAGTTTTGATTTAGCGATGTTACTGTTGGTTTTCAGTTGGTCACTGGCAGCTTTGGATTTGAGGATGGAATTATTTTTCTTTATATGATGTCAAAATAAAATACTCAACTTTCGAGAACCCCTTCTACTCGTTTAATCTATTACTAATACGTGATTGTTGTTTTACTTTAAAAAAAAAAAAATTCACTTGCATCCCAAATAAGATTCTTTTTACTCGATTCTACAGGGAAAATGAGTTTTGTTCCTTACTTTCTTATTTGCGGTTAATCAGTAGCTTTCAGTAATCTGTTGTTTTGTTTGTTGGGGAATTTCACAATGTTTCTTCCCTTTCGTTATAAAAAAAATCGTTATAGTTAAAATTGAACTTGTAATTATAATATTATTGTAAAAAATTCAGTTATATCTTGATTCAATTCATATAACTTTATCTCTTATGGTAAAAATGAATATATCCATACTTTATGCTACGAATTCAACCCGATAGCATCAATGCTCAAGTATGGTAGTTGGGGTATCGTTTGTTCGTTTTAGCTACCTGCCTGCAGTAGGAATCCAAACATGGAAATTTAAAATATTATTCTTATTGTTTTCTAAAGATAATTTTGTTTTCTTTCCTTAAGTGGGACAACGTCAGCGGAATTGGGCCTCAGATATTCCTCGGCTTGATGTGAAAGGATTTTTTTTTAATAAATTGACGTGAAAGGAGGTTTTGCAATGGTTGGTATCAAATTTTTAACATAGTTTATTCCAGTTATTGTGCTCCAAGGTTTATTTAATTTTATGATATTACAAGCGCTTTTATAGAGTAATCGTGTATTTGAATTTTTATAATCTCAAGACTGATTTAAGCATAAAACATAATGAACTTGTAGAAAATTTATTGTAAGTTGACTTTTGTTTAAATGAACATGTATGAGAGTTATATGTTCGAGTATTGTGAGTTTCATGTGTCTTGCAAAAGGTGAAAAACTGAGAATTTTCTCAGTTATGGGCTTATGGCAGGTCCGGAATTAATTTTTCGTGTATGATTGATCATAATAATTAAGGAGTTTAAATATTATTCAGAGATTTGAATCATACTGTATTATTAATTCATTCTTATCTGAATTACAATACCTAGTTCAAATACTTGATTGGGTTTTGAATAACTATAATTTTCTGGGTAAAGAGAAAGTGTGTAGATTGATTGTTTTAATTTGCAGCTGTCATATTCATCGCCAGCGGAATCCGGAATCATGGAGGATTTGCACCTCTCCATTGCTACTGTAAGTATCTGCCCAATGTTTTAGGATTTTGACTCCTCTGTCTTTTTAGCCTATCCTTTTCAGTCCTTTGTCACCTTTCTTAAATGGACAATTTCACATCATAGTCTTTCATAGTGAATAACTGAATACTAAAAACACTGCAATTCATTTTTATGGTTGTCAAAAACAATTTCACTTGGCTACTAGGAGAAGGTGGTGTAGGCATCGTTTTCGCTCGTGACTACTCATATGATTTGTGATGGGATGACCAATTGTCTGTGAGGGTGCTAAGTGGTATACCCACTTATTTTCGAAATGGTTATCGACAACTTACAAAGATTTTAGTGTCACCTGAATAAGATCTTTTCATAATAAAAAAAAATCCAAGTAAGATTGGTTTGTCGATATTCTCTGTGTTAGTAAAGTGTGAAAATAGGTAAATTGATTAGTTAGCTTGAGACGATAACATGGTGTATTGGAATGAAATTATCACTTGTATTTCTCAAGTCGAGCTCTTGTGTTCCCTATATATATGGTTTTGGTTTACAGTACTCAATGTTTGGGTCGATCATGGAGGTGGGTGGGATGATAGGTGCTCTGTTTTCTGGGAGACTAACTGCAATGCTTGGCAGAAAGAAAGTAAGCAATTTCGTGGACGATGAAATCGTTTATTAAAGGAGAACAAAAAATGGTTTATCATTCATTGAAAAGGAGAAGAGTTCCACGGAATGAAAGGGGATGGTGTTGTTTTGTTGTTGGAAATGCAGATTATGTGGCTTTCCCAGATATTCTCCACCATTGGCTGGCTTGCTATAGCACTTGCGCAGGTTAGTGAGCCCGCTCTTTTAATTTCTTTTGTTTTTTCCCCCCTTTAGTTTAATTAATCATTTGTCCTTACTCCATTTTCAAACTCAATTATCATTATTATAGTGTTTCCAGAGGAAACGATATAATTAATTAAAATGAAGAGTAATTATCAATTTTTGTAAATTCATCCCCAGCCGAATATTTATGATTTTAGTTCAGTCTCCAATTTACAAGTATTTATTTGTACGTTCCACTGGAGCAGAGTGAGTGGTGGCTGGTTGCTGGAAGGCTGTCCATTGGATTTGGAGTTGGCTTCGTCACTTATGTGGTAAGTTAGGCCCTACATTTTTTTTTCTTCTCCATATTTTTTATTATTATATATCTTATCTTTTTTCATCCAATAATCCATGGTTACCAAAAAAAAAAAAAAAACAGGTGCCGATCTACGTAGCAGAGATAACACCGAAAGAGTACAGAGGAGCATTTTCATACGCCAACCAGGTTTGCCCCTTTTCGTCACGGAATCCAAAGAAATTAAATTCCCACGTGCAGATATTCAATTCCGTTGATTATAACTGCTGCCAAACTGATTTTTTTTTATCAGTTGCTGGTGAATTGCGGGTTCTCGTTGGTTTATTTCGTCGGCAACGTCGTTTCCTGGCGCACCTTGGCCGTCATTTGTACGTAAAAAACTCACAAATATAATGTCCTCGTCTGATACAAAATAAAAATTGGAGGATCGAATTGATTATATATGAATTTTTGTTTTTTTTTTTTATCGTGGGATGCAAATGCCAAATGCAGCTCTTGTTCCGGGGGCCTTGCAACTGGTGGGGATATTCTTCATTCCCGAGTCTCCAAGATGGTTGGTCAGTACTCCTAATCTTTTGCACCAATTTTATTAATCTTTCTCCGGCTAATATTGTTAATTACTAATTAGAGGTGGTCACTTAATATAATTCATTCATTTAATCTAATTCACGAATTTAATTTAATATATTGTTGAAATTCTATATTTTAGTATCTATGGCAAATAAAATATGTCGTTTCTGGTTTAGGCAAGAGTTGGACGGGTGAAAGAGTTCAAAGCATCTTTGCAACGGTTGAGGGGGGAAAATGCTGATGTTTCTGTAGAAGAAGATGAGATCCAAGTAAGTTGGTTTGAGGATTGTGTTCTTGAGTTAATTGTCTAGAAGAGATACGATATTACTCATGCATGTGCTTGGAAATAATTGTAGAGTGCCATTAATGAAATGAAAAACGATGAGAAATCTAGTGTTGGGGACATTTTCAAGCGGAAATATGCTCACGCCCTCACGGTAAGACACGTATTACCTTTATCATCATCATCATATATTATAGTTATTGTATAAACACATTTCATTTTTATTAGGTACACTCTGTACATAAAACATCTCATATTTATTAATATTAGGTTGGGATTGGTCTAATGTTTCTTCAACAACTTGGAGGCACATCGGGTGTTGCATATTACGGCAGCAGTGTAATCCAAAAAACTGGTAAATTAGTCAACAAAGTTTGATGAATTGGCTTAGTTAATTTCTCCATTATTATAAGTGGCAGACAATTCGCATGAATGGCATGACTAAAATATATTTGCTTGGCCAGGTTTTTCAACCACTATTGGGACCATAATCATTTCTGTAATCCAGGTGCTGTAATTTCATCAGCTAATTAATGAGAGAATTACCATTATTTGTGAAGCATATTCTATGTTTTTTTATTTATTGTTGCTGTCATTTTTTTGTAGTAGGTCCCCATTGCTGCCATTGGGATATTCCTGATGGATATATGTGGAAGAAGGCTTCTCCTCATGGTAATTTTGAAACGACAATTGAAATCGATGGATAATGTATAATCAGTTATTAATCTAATTAATAAGGTGAAATAAGTTTTTTTTTTTTGTGTGTAGGTTTCTGCAGGTGGAATGAGCATATGTAGCTTCCTTGTAGGATTATCATTTGTATTACAGGTAATTAAGATTAGTTAATTATTATTCTAATTCTTATGTGATTCTATTCATTATTATTCTAATTCTTTTGTTTTTCATAAATAGGGGCTTAACCTTTTCAAGGACTTCACTCCAATTTTGGCCATCACTGGAATTACTGTAAGTGAATTCCACAATAGACAACAACTTATACCATGGGCTTTATTGATGTAATTAAATTATATAAGGGCCAATTTTAATCTTAAAAGAAATTCCCATCAACCTTTCAGGGATATTTCACTGCTTTCTCAATTGGGATGGGAGGAATCCCTTGGATTATAATGTCAGAGGTAAAGATCCAAATTAACTCATTAGTTCACTTCCTTCAGAGTTTATAATTACCAAAGTCATGCTCAGTTATACTTAATTACCTTGATGTGAAAAAAAAACAGATATTTCCCATGAATGTAAAGGCTCTGGCAGGAACTCTCATCACATTAGTCAACTGGTCATCTTCTTGGGTCATGACTTACTCCTTCAACTTCATGATGCAATGGAGCCCTGCTGGTATACCATTCTTTTAGATAAATCATATCTAGCTAAAATTTGGTTGACTTATTAAGTTACAACGAGATTAATTTTAAAATTTTGTTTTTTTTTCCCCCAGGAACATTCTTTATTTTAACAGCAACTTGTGGGTTCACAGTTATGTTTACTTTCAAGTTAGTACCGGAAACAAGAGGAAGAACACTTGAAGAAATACAAGCATATATGACGAGGCTTTAATTTGATAACAAGCCCACTTATGTGTGTGTGCATATGTATGAATGAATATGTATTCAATACAAAAAAATGTGCTATTGGAAATTTAGTTCATGGAAGAGAATCTGGACGGACAAAAGGATCTAAGAATTTCCTTCATATTGATACAATTACTGTGATTAGCCTCAATATAAGAAGTGTTTTAGATGGAGATTTAAATTTCTCCATCTTTTGTACAACGGTTTATGGAGGGTAATTATCTTTTGTAGAAAGATAAAATATATTAAGCTAATTATTCATATCATCCCTAGAAAGATCAAATATAAGATCAACATCTACCATAATTGAAATCTTGGCACCATAGTGAAGCCAATCATCATTAGGATCGTCACGTAATCGAAAAACACCTAATTTTGAAATGAGGTATGAAATTTACAACGAAAAAGGTAAAGTTTCCCAATTCTTGAACTGTTTTGCAGTTTGCAATTTGCGGGGACCATTTTATAAATTTAATGCTAATATTTTATTATAAGAGTTGGAATTACTTTGAAAATAAAATTAAAGTAGCTTTGATTTAACGCCTTAAATGATTTTTTGAGAATTATATTTATCAAATTCCCAAATATGAGATTATAAGGTAATTTTAGGGTCAAAGACTGAATTTGAATAAACATACTCATTTTAGCTGCACAATGGATTTATTGAGGTGGTTGCAAGGATATATTTTTTTTTGTTTTCTTTTTTTTTTTTTTTGCATAAAAGGGAGGCCAAGGCCAAGAAAACAGAAGGTTACATGGAGGTGAAGGAAAGAGTAGAGGGGGAAGTGGCAATCACCCTACGGGTGCTAGTGACACCCATAACATCAGCTCTGAGAATCGAAGAAATACCAGGGGGTGGGTTCGCTAACTCATGCATACCGTAGGGATAGACGAGACTGTGCTTCGAGAGCCAGTCCGCGACTCTATTCCCTTCCCGATATGTATGCGTCAGGCGAACCAACCAGTCTCTGTTGATTTTCCTGCGAATGGCTGTCAGCAGAGTAGCATAAGGATGGATCGGGTCATGACGGGAGCTGATAAGCTGAAGCGCAAGCTGCGAGTCGGTCTGAACCTGAACTGTTCTGCAACCATGTCTCCAAGCGAGGTCAAGTCCAAAGGAGATAGCCCAGAGCTCCGAGAGAGCCGCCGAAGCCGTGCCAAGGTTAGCCACGTAGCCAGCGAGCCAGCGGCCCTCTGAGTCGCGGACAGCCCCACCCGCGCCCGCCGGATCAGGATTTCCATTCGAAGCTCCGTCTGTATTAAGCACGACCCAGCCATTCGGGGGGGGGGGGGGGGGGGGGGGGGGGGGGGGGGGGGGGGTTCCAACCAATCTCCTCCTCAACTCTGCTAACAACCTGATTCCTAGTACTCGGAAGCAGGGGCGGCGCAATCCAAGCATTATACCAGATTCCCGCCTTCGTTGTGATTGAGTGCGCGAGAGAAGGGGGAGTAAGCGCTGCTCCCGGGCCCTGCAGACAGAACACGCAGCGGTTCTTCCAGATAAGCCAAAGCGAAATACTGTAAAAAGCTGACCATGGCATCCCCGAGTCCAAAACATCCGTCCTGAGCAGGTTGGAGCGGAGCCAGTCCCTCTGATCTAGCAGGAAAAAGCTCTGCTGCTGCGCTTCCGGGACGTGACGAAGCCAGAAGAACATGGCCGGCGGGCAGTCCCTAAGAGTATGGAGAATCGTCTCGGACACCCCAGCGCACTTCGAGCAAGACGAGCTCGACGCAGCTTTCCTGTCAAAACGAAGGTTATTCGTAGCAATCTTACCAAGCATAGTCTGCCACATAAAGCACTGGACTCTCTCCGGTACCGCAAGTTTCCAAATGGTCTTCCAAACTTTCTCATCAGGATCAGTAGGGTGCTGGTTGAGGATGTCGAAGGCTGACTTAGTGGAAAAATTCCCGTCCGAAGAAGCGGCCCAGAAGAGAGTGTCCTCTTCCACTGTAAGAGTGTCAACCGCCACACTGAGGATCTTCTGACAAACCTCAACGGGCAGAAATTCCTCGAAAAGGGAGGTTCGCCAGGCGCCATCATTTTCCACGTGCTCAGCAATCACCATGTGCTCCATCTCCTCCGAAATTTGTCCAATCGCCACGTCCTTAAGAGGAACCTGCAAAACCCAAGGATCAAGCCAGAATTTAGTGGATTTCCCATTCTTAATATTCCAAGCACAACCTTTTTTCAAGAGGGAAGCAGCTTTAATAAAGCTTCTCCAAGTGAAGGAACTTCCCTGAGCAGGACGAAGGATGTCCAAGTTGTCTCGCTGCAATCCATACTTTGACTGCATAATTTGGGACCACAGAGTCTCCTTCTCCTTGACTAGGCGCCAGCCACCTTTTGCTAACATTGCCAAATTAGCCTGTCTAGTAGGACGGATCCCCACCCCACCATTCTTCCTTGGCATCGCCATCTTGTCCCAGGCAACCAGATGCATTTTCTTCTTATGCTCTTCCTCAGCCCACACAAAGTCCCTGTTCAGCTTATCAATACTGTGACAAACACCACTAGGTATGAGTTCAGTATTCATATTATACACAGGGATAGAGGCAGAAACAGCTTTCACCACCGTAAGACGCGCGGCAAAAGACAAGCGTTTTGCTTTCCAAGGCGCGAGCTTCTTCTGGATTCGGAGGAGGAGAGGTTGGTATCTCTCCCTGGTCACTCTCCCATGAATCGTCGGGATGCCCAAGTACTTCCCCAGCGCCGCCTTCAGCGGAATTCCCGCCCGTTGACTCAGATAATTGGCTCTCCTATGATCGACATTTGGGGACACGTAGAGCATGGACTTCTGATAATTCACCCGCTGGCCAGAGCTGGAGCAGAAATCATCGAGGCATTTCTTGATGGTCCGAATCTGTCTTATCCCTATTTCTGCAAAGAGAAGGAGATCATCTGCAAAAAAAAGATGCGTGAGAGGAGGACCGTTTATAGAGAGCTTAAGAGCTTTCCAGCGTCCATCAGACACAGCAGCATCAATCAAATGAGATAACCGTTCCATGCAAAGGACAAAAAGATAAGGGGATAAAGGATCTCCCTGACGAACTCCCCGGGTTGGAGTTAGGGTGGGGGAGAGCTGTCCATTCCAGAGAAATCGCATCCGGTTCTGCGTTACACAATGCATGATGCCACTAATCCAAGTGCTTGGGAGTCCCACTTCTTTCAGAGTATCTCGAAGGAAGTCCCACCTCAGCCTGTCGTAAGCCTTCTCAAGATCAATTTTGAGGATGATTCCCCCCGCCTTCCCCTTCTTTTTATGCAATGAGTGAAGAGCTTCTTGGACCACGATGATGTTATCCGTCGTTTGCCGCCCCGGAATGAAACTGTTATGCCGAGGTGAAATCAAGCCTCTCATAAGAGGTTTCAGTCTGCTGGTCAGAGCTTTGGTGATGGCCTTTAGGCTGACATTGTTGAGAGAAATCGGACGTAGCTGACCAACCACTTCCGGCCTGTCCACCTTAGGGATGAGTATCACCGTCGACTCGGTTACTGCTTCAGGGAGGGTTCCTGTTTCGAAAAAATTGCTAGCCATGTCGGTGAGGCTCTTCCCTACAACTCCCCACATCTTCTGGAAGAAAGCCGCCTGGTACCCATCTGGCCCAAGGGCCTGAAAGGGCTTCATGTCGAAAATAGCAAGGTGGATGTCCTGAATGGTGAAGGGGCGGAGAAGAGTCAACATCTCTGAGTGGTCGATCCTGGGGAAAGCCCCTTTGGGCATCTTGTCCTCATACACGTCTTCTTCCTGCATAGAGAGGTCAGCAAAAAAACCAAACACAAGAGCAGCTAGAGCATCCTGGTCAGTCACCCAATTTCCTTGATCATCTTGCAGAGCTTCTATCCTGTTCCGACGCCGCCTAATGTTGACCTGCTGGTGGAAGTAGCTCGTGTTGCGCTCCCCGAACTGGACCCACTTCTCTCTAGATCGCTGAAACCAGAGCAGCTCTTCCTGTTCCATTACTTGGTCGAGCTCAGCTTCTAGTTTAGAGTGGAGCTTTGCTAGGCCTGGTGAAAAGACCTGCACAAGCCGAACTTCGATGCCCTTGAGTCTCGCAAGCAGCCGCCTTTTCCGTTGCTGGATATTGCCAAAAACATTCCAATTCCACTCTTGAAGTTTCTCTGCAAGCAAAGGGAGAGCAGTGTGTAAAGGCATATTAGAGTTCCAATTACCCTCAACAACTTCATGCAAATTAGAGTGAGCCAGCCAGGCTGCTTCCCTGATTCTTGACAGTGGTCAAGATGGGATTGTGATCCGATTGCACCCAAGGGAGATGGAGAACCGTAGTGTTCGGAAAGAAGGCATTCCACTGGGTGTTACAGAGACATCTGTCCAGCCGGCTCGCCTTATAGGAGCTGTCTTGCTCCCCCCTCATCCAGGTGAATTTCGGACCAGAAAACCCCAGATCAACTAGTTCAGCAGTATTGATCCTGTCATTGAATAGCTTACAACGGCGGATGGTAGAGGCAGTAGCGGGTCCCGCCTTTGCCTCCGGCAACCGAATCGCATTATAGTCACCAACGAGGATCCAGGGGATGTCCACCCATTTGCTTTGATTGATGAGATTCTCCCAAAGGCTCTGCTGTTCACTGTGACGAGGAGAGGCGTAAATGGCAGAAAGCTGCCACGGCGGGCTATTGCCTTGCGAGACCCGGAGAGAAATATGCTGATTACAAGCAAAAACCAGTTGAACCGAGAAGATCCCCGCGTCCCAGAAGACCCAAATACCACCCTTGCGACCCTCCGCATCAACGCGGATCGAATTAGGATACCCAAGCTTGTCACAGACAGAATCCGCAGTGTTTCCGCTGATCTGCGGCTCCAAAAGGATCAGGAAGTCAGGGCGATGATGCAGAATCATCATCCGAAGAGCTCTAGCAAAGACCTGCTACCTGCTCCACCAACATTCCAGGAAACAATTTTAAAGTTAAGGTTGTGCGACATGGGAAAAAAATGAAAGTAAAGAACAGAAATGGAGGGAGGAAAGGAAGCCCGAAGCAAAAAGAGAGCTAAATGCTGGGGGGCCGGAACAGCCGTCGGCAGGTCCAATTCAGCTGGGGAGGGGGGGTCATCATTCATTGTTTCCTGATTCCCGACTCCACTCTCAATACTTTTCCGATTTTTCGCTTCTGTCCACGCGGAGATCTCTTGCAGAGTCAGTGAAGCAACG